CCTACACGAACTGAGAAACGGGAAGGTAAGTGAGTACAGCCAATCTCATGTGCCCTGTCTGAATGGACAAGTCTAAGACCCGCTACTCAAAAACTAAACTACTAATGCAGTTTGTTCTACCTAAGAGCTTCCTGACCCCAACAGTAAAAATAGTGGCTGTGTGTGTAAAGTTGTCTTCAACCTGAACTGCGCAGGGTCTCTCTCATCAACGAGCATGAAATTACTTGCAGACTTGATCTGCATGACAGGAACGATGGGTTTTCTAACTTCAGTGCTATCTGAATTGGTCTTTGACCTGGGCCAAACAGAAGAGTTGCAGAAAAATTGCATCCTGACAGTCCCCCTGAGCCTAGCTTGTGTCAGTCCTTGCTTAACTCTCTTCTTGCTTATGAAGATGTCGTGTATGTATACACAGTTAATTTGTGTGTAGGCCACAATATCTTAAAACAAGAACTTGGAATTATTTTCAAGAAGGGGAAAAAAGTGCAGTCCCTAACCCAAATCCTCTTGGAAATGATTATGTATTATGAGTTGGAAGAACGAAGTGCATCAGGGTGTTCCCGAAAGAAATACTTACGGGTGGCAAAGCTGCTGCGCTTAGAGACTTTGTTTTGCAGACTACAAACAGATTTCTGTGGCTGAACTTCTTTTCAGAAACAGGTGCAATCGGGTCTCAAAGGGCAATACGCTGCTGTGAAATGCAAGTGCACATTTGTGATTTTTTGCTGACCTGTAAAAGACATTTGAAGGCTAATAAGAATTGCAAAGCATGTGTGTCTCATTCTGTACTAGAAAAGATTAAAGCTCTTGCGGTCTTTCCGCTGTCCCTCCGTGGCGGGTCGTGGGGCTGATGTGGTGGCCGGTCCCAGCGAGCCGGAGGGTTGCACCTTCATCTTGCTCTGGAACAGGAGGGGTCTGGAGATGTCTCTACTGAGCAGTCAGAAGTGGAAATAGATAAAAGAGACTTTTTTCCTCCAGCTTCTACTTTCCACCTCACAATTATTTCACCCTTATCTAGGGCATGTATTAAAAAAAAAAACAGTAGTAGTAAACCCCAAACCGTCTCCAGAAAATAGTCAGTGACTCAGCTTGTGAGCTGGTAGGCTCTTACAGACATATTAAAACCTCTTTATTTACAGAAGACTGACTTGTCTTTGTTTTGCATTCAGGAATTTAGTTCTCTCTAGTGTAGCAAAATAGATTTAAAGTGCTGCTACGCCGTTCTGCTAACATTTTACATGCCTATTGCATTGACCTTGCGGAAGTTAATCATTGCAGTAGTATAAAGCAAAGCCGTTGTGCTTGCAGTCGTGTCTAATACCAAGCGGATAAAATACTGGTAACTTAGTAGGTTTAACCTGCCTTTTCCTTAAAGTGCTTTCTGCTTAATGACTACACGTAATGCCCTCAGATTTCATCATAGCTGTTTTTACCCCTTTGATTCAAAAAGCAAAGCTGCTCTGGGGGTCCGTGGTAGGTGCATGTTTGACTGTGGAGCTGAAGCCGCTCCTGTCCCAGAGAGCCAGAGCTGAGCGTTTCCCACTAGGTGGGGGTGTGTATCTGCTGTACGCTCTTGTCAGCCCGGCTTCCGAGTTGAATTTCCAAGAGGCAGGTTAAGAAGCAGTTTGTGTCCTCTCACTGCACAGGAGAGGAACTGTTTGGGCTGTTGCTTCCACTTTCTAAATAACCAGAGTCACCCCTGCCACTGAGGCTACCTGTCCATATGTGGGGAGGAGGCAACGCTGCTGTAGAGAAGACAATTTATTTTAATATGTACAGTCAAATATAGGTCTTGCTGTAACTAAAGCCAGGCAGGCAGAGGCTAGAGGAAGGCACTCCTAATTTAATTATGAAGATGCTTCTAGGATTCAGACCTGGCTGCCTCATCAGGCTCTAACTATGTCTGTGTAGGGACATACAATGTCCATGACGTTCTGAATTGTCTTTCAAGCCCAAAGACCCGAGATTTAACCGCAGGGGATGAAGTCTGTTACATGGCTATAATTAAGCCAAGACTGCAGAGAGTACACAGCCAGCTACCTGAGGCACGGAGGTTTAG